CTTTCTATGTAAAGCTTTCTACGTAAAACTTTTTTCGCTTCACTATCAATCTTAACTTTACCTTGTTTATATGTAAAACTTTCTGTATGAACTTTCTACATAAAACTTTCCTTGTAAAACTTTCTATGTAAAGCTTTCTATGTAAAACTTTCTGTGAAAAACTTTCTTTGCTTCACTATCAATCTTAACTTTACCTTGTTTATGTGTAAAACTTTCTGTTTAAAATTTTCTATGCAAAACTTTCTATGTAAAACTTTCTATGTAAAACTTTCTATATAAAACTTTCTATGTAAAGCTTTCTACGTAAAACTTTCTTCGCTTCACTATCAATCTTAACTTTACCTTGTTTATATGTAAAACTTTCTGTATGAACTTTTCTACATAAAACTTTCCTTGTAAAACTTTCTATGTAAAGCTTTCTATGTAAAACTTTCTGTGAAAAACTTTCTTCGCTTCACTATCAATCTTAACTTTACCTTGTTTATGTGTAAAACTTTCTGTTTAAAATTTTCTATGCAAAACTTTCTATGTAAAACTTTCTATGTAACTTTCTATGTAAAACTTTCTATGTAAAACTTTCTATGTAAAACTTTCTATATAAAACTTTCTATGTAAAACTTTCTATGTAAAACTTTCTATGTAAAACTTTCTATGTAAAGCTTTCTATGTAAAACTTTCTTCGCTTCACTATCAATCTTAACTTTACCTTGTTTATATGTAAAACTTTCTGTATGAACTTTTCTACATAAAACTTCCCTTGTAAAACTTTCTATGTAAAGCTTTCCATGTAAAACTTTATGTGAAAAACTTTCTTCGCTTCACTATCAATCTTAACTTTACCTTGTTTATGTGTAAAACTTTCTGTTTAAAATTTTCTATGCAAAACTTTCTATGTAAAACTTTCTATGTAACTTTCTATGTAAAACTTTCTATGTAAAACTTTCTATGTAAAGCTTTCCATGTAAAACTTTATGTGAAAAACTTTCTTCGCTTCACTATCAATCTTAACTTTACCTTGTTTATGTGTAAAACTTTCTGTTTAAAATTTTCTATGCAAAACTTTCTATGTAAAACTTTCTATGTAAAACTTTCTATGTAACTTTCTATGTAAAACTTTCTATGTAAAACTTTCTATGTAAAACTTTCTATGTAAAACTTTCTATATAAAACTTTCTATGTAAAACTTTCTATGTAAAACTTTCTATGTAAAACTTTCTATGTAAAGCTTTCTATGTAAAACTTTCTTCGCTTCACTATCAATCTTAACTTTACCTTGTTTATATGTAAAACTTTCTGTATGAACTTTTCTACATAAAACTTCCCTTGTAAAACTTTCTATGTAAAGCTTTCCATGTAAAACTTTATGTGAAAAACTTTCTTCGCTTCACTATCAATCTTAACTTTACCTTGTTTATGTGTAAAACTTTCTGTTTAAAATTTTCTATGCAAAACTTTCTATGTAAAACTTTCTATGTAACTTTCTATGTAAAACTTTCTATGTAACTTTCTATGTAAAGCTTTCTATGTAAAACTTTCTGTGAAAAACTTTCTTCGCTTCACTATCAATCTTAACTTTACCTTGTTTATGTGTAAAACTTTCTGTTTAAAATTTTCTATGCAAAACTTTCTATGTAAAACTTTCTATGTAACTTTCTATGTAAAACTTTCTATGTAACTTTCTATGTAAAGCTTTCTATGTAAAACTTTCTGTGAAAAACTTTCTTCGCTTCACTATCAATCTTAACTTTACCTTGTTTATGTGTAAAACTTTCTGTTTAAAATTTTCTATCCAAAACTTTCTGTTTAAAATTTTCTATCCAAAACTTTCTATGTAAAACTTTCTATGTAAAATTTTCTGTATGAACTTTTCTACATAAAACTTCCCTTGTAAAACTTTCTATGTAAAGCTTTCCATGTAAAACTTTATGTGAAAAACTTTCTTCGCTTCACTATCAATCTTAACTTTACCTTGTTTATGTGTAAAACTTTCTGTTTAAAATTTTCTATGCAAAACTTTCTATGTAAAACTTTCTATGTAACTTTCTATGTAAAACTTTCTATGTAACTTTCTATGTAAAGCTTTCTATGTAAAACTTTCTGTGAAAAACTTTCTTCGCTTCACTATCAATCTTAACTTTACCTTGTTTATGTGTAAAACTTTCTGTTTAAAATTTTCTATCCAAAACTTTCTGTTTAAAATTTTCTATCCAAAACTTTCTATGTAAAACTTTCTATGTAACTTTCTATGTAAAACTTTCTATGTAACTTTCTATGTAAAACTTTCTATGTAAAACTTTCTATATAAAACTTTCTATATAAAACTTTCTATATAAAACTTTCTATGTAAAACTTTCTATGTAAAACTTTCTATGTAAAGCTTTCTACGTAAAACTTTCTTCGCTTCACTATCAATCTTAACTTTACCTTGTTTATATGTAAAACTTTCTGTATGAACTTTTCTACATAAAACTTTCCTTGTAAAACTTTCTATGTAAAGCTTTCCATGTAAAACTTTATGTGAAAAACTTTCTTCACTTCACTATCAATCTTAACTTTACCTTGTTTATGTGTAAAACTTTCTGTTTAAAATTTTCTATGCAAAACTTTCTATGTAAAACTTTCTATGTAAAACTTTCTATATAAAACTTTCTATGTAAAGCTTTCTACGTAAAACTTTTTTCGCTTCACTATCAATCTTAACTTTACCTTGTTTATATGTAAAACTTTCTGTATGAACTTTTCTACATAAAACTTTCCTTGTAAAACTTTCTATGTAAAGCTTTCTATGTAAAACTTTCTGTGAAAAACTTTCTTTGCTTCACTATCAATCTTAACTTTACCTTGTTTATGTGTAAAACTTTCTGTTTAAAATTTTCTATGCAAAACTTTCTATGTAAAACTTTCTATATAAAACTTTCTATGTAAAGCTTTCTACGTAAAACTTTCTTCGCTTCACTATCAATCTTAACTTTACCTTGTTTATATGTAAAACTTTCTGTATGAACTTTTCTACATAAAACTTTCCTTGTAAAACTTTCTATGTAAAGCTTTCTATGTAAAACTTTCTGTGAAAAACTTTCTTCGCTTCACTATCAATCTTAACTTTACCTTGTTTATGTGTAAAACTTTCTGTTTAAAATTTTCTATGCAAAACTTTCTATGTAAAACTTTCTATGTAAAACTTTCTATGTAACTTTCTATGTAAAACTTTCTATGTAAAACTTTCTATGTAAAACTTTCTATGTAAAACTTTCTATATAAAACTTTCTATGTAAAACTTTCTATGTAAAACTTTCTATGTAAAACTTTCTATGTAAAGCTTTCTATGTAAAACTTTCTTCGCTTCACTATCAATCTTAACTTTACCTTGTTTATATGTAAAACTTTCTGTATGAACTTTTCTACATAAAACTTCCCTTGTAAAACTTTCTATGTAAAGCTTTCCATGTAAAACTTTATGTGAAAAACTTTCTTCGCTTCACTATCAATCTTAACTTTACCTTGTTTATGTGTAAAACTTTCTGTTTAAAATTTTCTATGCAAAACTTTCTATGTAAAACTTTCTATGTAACTTTCTATGTAAAACTTTCTATGTAACTTTCTATGTAAAGCTTTCTATGTAAAACTTTCTGTGAAAAACTTTCTTCGCTTCACTATCAATCTTAACTTTACCTTGTTTATGTGTAAAACTTTCTGTTTAAAATTTTCTATGCAAAACTTTCTATGTAAAACTTTCTATGTAACTTTCTATGTAAAACTTTCTATGTAACTTTCTATGTAAAGCTTTCTATGTAAAACTTTCTGTGAAAAACTTTCTTCGCTTCACTATCAATCTTAACTTTACCTTGTTTATGTGTAAAACTTTCTGTTTAAAATTTTCTATCCAAAACTTTCTGTTTAAAATTTTCTATCCAAAACTTTCTATGTAAAACTTTCTATGTAAAATTTTCTATGTAAAATTTTCTATGTAAAATTTTCTATGTAAAACTTTCTATGTAAAACTTTCTATGTAAAACTTTCTATATAAAACTTTCTATATAAAACTTTCTATATAAAACTTTCTATGTAAAACTTTCTATGTAAAACTTTCTATGTAAAGCTTTCTACGTAAAACTTTCTTCGCTTCACTATCAATCTTAACTTTACCTTGTTTATATGTAAAACTTTCTGTATGAACTTTTCTACATAAAACTTTCCTTGTAAAACTTTCTATGTAAAGCTTTCCATGTAAAACTTTATGTGAAAAACTTTCTTCACTTCACTATCAATCTTAACTTTACCTTGTTTATGTGTAAAACTTTCTGTTTAAAATTTTCTATGCAAAACTTTCTATGTAACTTTCTATGTAAAACTTTCTATGTAAAACTTTCTATGTAAAACTTTCTATGTAAAACTTTCTATGTAAAACTTTCTATGTAAAACTTTCTATGTAAAACTTTCTATGTAAAATTTTCTATGTAAAATTTTCTATGTAAAATTTTCTATGTAAAACTTTCTATGTAAAACTTTCTATGTAAAACTTTCTATGTAAAACTTTCTATGTAAAACTTTCTATGTAAAATTTTCTTCACTTCACTATCAATCTTAACTTTACCTTGTCTATACATGTACACCATATCAATCAACATTAAAAAAATTAAGAAATTCATTTAAAAATCAATGATATTCATAATGACAACACGCGACGGGCCGGTGACTTACGACTGCCACTTTTACGGTTATCTGTGATATATTTGGAAATGCGGTGCTATTTTCTATTTCTGAGTGTAATTTTGACATTTTGACAATCGTCTGTCTTACTGAATATCATTTTTAGTATTTAATTCATCTTAAAAATAAACGGGAGTATGATGATAATTTATTCTTAGTACTTAAGTTGTAAGTGTAACTTTTTTATAAAACTAATAACAAAATAGTTTTTAATATGGTGCTGACAACTATAATTATATTTGTGTCACGTGGTATGCAATTATCGTTACTATGATAAATTTTTGTTGAAGGAATTTCGCCTTCCTTTACTCCGTCGAATTTTTACAAAATGGAGGTATTTTTGTCTGTAAAACGAAGCATCTTCAATTAGCCGGTGGTAACAAAAATGTACCATCCGCCGATATCACTGTTGGAATGGAGTACATGTCGCCGAGAAGAAGCTCTCCGTTGCATCCCTCCAGCGGCGGAGGTATTTATTTTATTATACAAATCTGGACCTTAGAGCCGAAGAGCGTTAAGTCCATTTTACAAAATTTTACAGGAGGGCTTGTTGAAACTTTTAAAAATATATCTGGAAAACCAAAAACTTAGTGGACTTAGTACTGTTTGACTCAGGTTCAGAAATATTTATAAACAGGTTCTGGTAAATCTTCGTTATAATTTTAGAATTTATACTCTATATAAACACTAGGTGGCGTTACTAGAGTACATTCCTATGTTTTCTAGTAAATACTGAACATTCTTAAACTTACAATTGGTATTTAATAGAAAAAATTCGTTTTTATAATAAAACTAATCCAATAAAATGTCGTGCTCTGTTAGATTCTGGGTCTAAAACTTCTTTTATTAAATCCGATTTGCCTAAACTTAAAAAAAAACTCCTGGTATCTAAATTAAAAACATCGTTATTATAATGGTGGATAATTAAAGTCTAATAAAACATTTTCATTTTACCTCAAAATGATCTTCACAACAAATTAATTTAGCTATTTCTTGAAGCTTTTTCGTGTCTTGTCGTGGCTCACCATAAGATGTTTTAAGTTTCCAAAAAATTAGTTTTCAAGATAGTGGAAATGAGTTTACTGATAAATTTGTTTAACTAAATGTATAGGGTGTTTCTAAATGTCATGTCAATATTGATTATACATGCACTATAAACTGTCATAATAGAACTTTGACGAAGGTTTACCGGATCCCGTATATCTATAAAATTAATAATAATGAATAATTTTTAAGGGTTCGGCGGTTTTGGGGGCGGGAGCAGACCTAGTGGTGGCGCTGGACGAGGTAGGGTCTCTAGAGATAGGGATATCATCGGTACTACTATTAAAATTACCAGAGGGCCTTATAAGGGTAATATTGGTATTGTAAAAGATGCGACAGAGTCTACAGCTAGGATAGAATTGCATACTTCTTGTCAAACTATATCTGTTGACAGGAATAATATTACTGATGCTGGTGAGTTTAGTTTTTGTGTTATTTATATCTATTTTAGCTTTTATTTGTCTTGGATATTTTATTTTTGTGACAATTTTTTTTACAAAAAAAATTTAATAAAAGCAATAAAAGTGTAAATTATTAATTGACATTCACATATCTATCTTTATTTTCTATAACAATTTAAAAAAAAATTGTAAATACAGACTATATAGTAGAACTATCTTTAATTTGAACTTCAATAAAAAAAAAAAAAAAATTGTAGAAAAATTTTTGTAAAAAAAATGTCAAAAAAATTTTGGAAAAAAAAATTTTTGTAAAAAAAATTTTTGTAAAAAAAATTGTAAAAAAAATTGTCACAAAAAATTTTTGGTAAAATTTTTGGTAAAAAAAATTTTGATAAAAAAAATTTTTGTAAAAAAAATTTGTCAAAAAATTTTTAGTAAAAAAAATTTTGGTAAAAAAATATAGTACAACTTTAATTTGAAGAAAATTTCAAAAAAATTTTTGGTAAAAAAAATTTCGTCACAAAAAATTTTTATTAAAAAATTTTTGATAAAAAAAAATTTGGTAAAAAAAATTTGTAAAAAAAATTGTAAAAAATATTTGTCAATTTGTTAATCAAAAATTTTTTTTACCAAAAATTTTTTTACTAAAAATTTTTTGACAATTTTTTTACTAAAAATTTTAGGTAAAAAAAAAATTGGTAAAAAAATTAGTACAACTAACTTTAATTTGAAGAAAATTTTGATAAAAAAATTTGTGACAAAAAATTTTGGTAAAAAAATATTTTGTAAAAAAAATTTGGTAAAAAAAATTTGTAAAAAAAATTGTAAAAAATATTTGTCAATTTGTTAATCAAAAATTTTTTTTACCAAAAATTTTTTTACTAAAAATTTTTTGACAATTTTTTTACTAAAAATTTTAGGTAAAAAAAAAATTGGTAAAAAAATTAGTACAACTAACTTTAATTTGAAGAAAATTTTGATAAAAAAATTTGTGACAAAAAATTTTGGTAAAAAAATATTTTGTAAAAAAAATTGTAAAAAAAATTGTCAAAAAATTATAGTAAAAAAAATTTTTGTAAAAAAAATTGTCACAAAAATTTTTTATTAAAAAAAATTTGTCAAAAAATTTTTAGTAAAAAAAATTTTGGTAAAGAAATTTGTTAAAAAATTTTTATTAAAAAAAATTTGGTAAAAAAAATTTGTCACAAAAAATTTTTGGTAAAAAAAAATTGTCACAAAAATTTTTGGTTAAAGAAATTTGTCACAAAAAATTTTTTATAAAAAAAAATTTCTAAAAAAAAATTACTAAAAAAAAAAAATTCTAAAAAAAATTGTTAAAAAATGTCACAAAAAATTTTTAATAAAAAAAATTTGGTAAAAAAAATTTGGTAAAAAAAATTTGTCAAAAAATTTTTTGTAAAAATTTTTGTAAAAAAATTGTCACAAAAATTTTAGGTTAAAGAAATTTGTCACAAAAAATGTTTTATAAAAAAAAATTTCTAAAAAAAAACTTTCTAAAAAAAATTTGTTAAAAAATGTCACAAAAAATTTTTAGTAAAAAAAATTTGGTAAAAAAAATTTGTCAAAAAATTTTTTGTAAAGATTTTTGTAAAAAAAAATTATCACAAAAATTTTAGGTTAAAGAAATTTGTCACAAAAAATTTTTTATAAAAAAAAATTTCTAAAAAAAAATTTCTAAAAAAAACTTTCTAAAAAAAATTTTTAGTAAAAAAAATTTGGTAAAAAAAATTTGTCAAAAAATTTTTTGTAAAGATTTTTGTAAAAAAAATATCACAAAAATTTTTGGTTAAAGAAATTTGTCACAAAAAAAATTAAAAAAAAAAATTTTTGGTAAAAAATTAAAAAAAAAATTCTAAAAAAAAATTTTCAAAAAAATTTCTAAAAAAAATTTCTCAAAAAATTTTTAGTAAAAAAAAATTTTGGTAAAAAAATATAGTACAACTTTAATTTAAAGAAAATTTTGATAAAAAAAATTTTTAGTAAAAAAATTTTTGGTAAAAAAAAATTTTGATAAAAAAAATTTTTGTAAAAAAAAATATCACAAAAATTTTTGATTAAAAAAATTTGTCAAAAAATTTTTAGTAAAAAAAATTTTGGTAAAAAAAATGTACAACTTAATTTGAAGAAAATTTTTGTAAAAAAAATTGTCAAAAAAATTTTTGGTCAAAAAAATTTCGTCAAAAAATTTTTATTAAAAAAAATTTTTGTAAAAAAAATTTGTCTCAAAAAATTTTTGGTAAAAAAAAATTTGGTAAAAAAATTTTTTGTAATAAAAAATTTTCACAAAAATTTTTGGTTGAAGAAATTTGGAAAAAAAAATATTACCTTTAATTTGAAGAAAATTTTGGTAAAAAAAATTTGTCAAAAAATTTTTGGTAGATTTTTGTAAAGTCACAAAAATTTTTGATAAAAAAAATTTTGGGAAAAAAAATTCTAAAAAAAAATTGTCACAAAAAATTTTTGAAAAAAAAAAATTTGGTAAAATATTGTAAAAAAAAAATTTTAAAAAAATTTCTAAAAAAATTTGTCAAAATTTTTAGTAAAAAAAATTTTGGTAAAAAATTTTTGGTAAAAAAATTGTCAAAAAATTTTGTAAAAAAAAATAAAAAATTTTTGAAAAAAAAATTTTGATAAAAAAAATATAGTACAACTAACTTTAATTTGAGAAAATTTTGGTAAAAAAAATTGTAAAAAAAATTTGTCAAAAAATGTTTAGTAAAGAAAATATAGTACAACTAACTTTAATTTGAAGAAAATTTTGGTAAAAAAAATTTTTCACAAAAAATTTTTAGTAAAAAAAATGTAAAAAAAAAATTCACAAAAATTTTGTAAAAAAAAAATCGTAAAAAAAAATTGTAAAAAAAAATCGTAAAAAAAAATTGTAAAAAAATTTTTTGTAAAAATTTTTGTAAAAAAAATTGTCACAAAAATTTTGTCAGAAAAATTTTTGGTTAAAGAAATTTGTCACAAAAATTTTTTATAAAAAAAAATTTCTAAAAAAAAATTACTAAAAAAAAATTTGTTAAAAAATGTCACAAAAAATTTTTAGTAAAAAAATTTTTGGTAAAAAAAATTTTTGATAAAAAAAATTTTTGTAAAAAAAAATATCACAAAAATTTTTGATTAAAAAAATTTGTCAAAAAATTTTTAGTAAAAAAAATTTTGGTAAAAAAAATGTACAACTTAATTTGAAGAAAATTTTTGTAAAAAAAATTGTCAAAAAAATGTTTGGTAAAAAAAATTTCGTCACAAAAAATTTTTATTAAAAAAAATGTTTGTAAAAAAAATTTGTCAAAAAATATTTGGTAAAAAAAAATTTGGTAAAAAAATTTTTTGTAAAAAAAAATTTGTCACAAAAAATTTTTAGTAAAACAAATTTTGGTAAAAAAAATTGTCAAAAAATTTTTGATTATAGAAATTTGTCACAAAAAATTTTTGATAAACAAAAAAATTTTGGAAAAACAAATTTTTGGTAAAAAAAATTTTGGTAACAAAAAATTTTTGGTAAAAAAATTGTCAAAAAATTTTGTAAAAAAAAATTATAAAAAATTTTTGAAAAAAAAATTTTGATAAAAAAAATATAGTACAACTAACTTTAATTTGAGAAAATTTTGGTAAAAAAAATTGTAAAAAAAAATTTGTAAAAAAAATTTGTCAAAAAATGTTTAGTAAAGAAAATATAGTACAACTAACTTTAATTTGAAGAAAATTTTAGTAAAAAAAATTTGTCACAAAAAATTTTTGGTAAAAAAAATTTTGTAAAAAAAAAATTCACAAAAATTTTGTAAAAAAAAAATCGTAAAAAAAAATTTGTAAAAAAATAGTAAACAAAATTATTTAAAGAAAAATTTTTTTTTAATTTTTTTCATAAATTTTTTGACATTCTTTTTTACAAATTTTTTGAATGAACAAAATTTTTTTACAAATTTAATTTTTTGAATGAACATTTTTTTACAAAAATTTTTTTTCCAAATTTTTTTTTAGAATTTTTTTCTACAATTTTTTTTTCTACAAATTTTTTTACAATTTTTTTTTTTAATTTTTTTACAAATTTTTTACAAATTTTTTTACAAATTTTTTTGACATGCTAATGTTAATAGTATATAGCTAGTATGACATGCGCTTGGCGAGCAATGGAAGCATTGAATGAACAAATTTTTTTTTAAAAGTTTTTTTACATTTTTTTTTACAAAAATTTTTCTTTTAAAAATTTTTTACAAATTTTTTTTTCCAAATTTTTTTTTTACAAAAATAATTTTCAAATTTTTTTTTTTAAATTTTTTTTGATAATTTTTTTACAATTTTTTTTTAATTTTTTTTGTTTTATATCCTTCCTACAGCATCAACTATTTCATTCATTAGTATCTTCTTTCTACTCAATAAAAACATTTGATAAACGTTTTTTAGGTACTCCGAGCAGCAGAGATGGCAGCGCGTCCAGTTACGGCAGAACTCCGGCGTACGCTGGAAACCAGACACCGTTATACAGGGATACCGGAAACAAAACGCCGATGTGCGACTCCGGTTCTCGTACACCTTTACATTACGGTTCTATGACGCCTATTCATGACGGTTCGAGAACGCCGAACGCTAGTTCCGAATGGGATCCCGCTGTTTCGAATACTTATCCGTCACCTGGTTATAATCCAAGTAAGTTTTCTTTATTTTATATATATGTTATAATTTTGATTGTTTTGTATAAATAGACCTTGTAAATTTACAAATATATTCCTAAGTTGGTTTTTTCACCTTCAGATAAAGTTCCAGATAACTAACTGACGGATATGTTATCTGAGAGTTACTATCTGTCTGATAATTATTTTTCAAATAACTAATGTGTATGGTAGGTATTATCCAGTAGATTTTAACCTTATGTGGTTATGCAGCTACCTGTTTTTTGACATTTCTACAAAATTCCAGAGTCCAAATTTTTACTTTTTCTCATATATCTCGAATACGGTCCATTTTAGAGAAATTATGTATGTGACTAAAATTATAGAGAATATTATTACTAACAAATTTTATTTGAAGAATTTTCTTCTCCAAGCGTAAATAACATATATTTCATAAAATAGGAAAACAAACCCCTATAAAAAAACCCAAATGTTCCGATTGTGTCCAAAATTTCATTTTTTTCACCGCAGGATGGATTAAAATTTGGTTTTACCACTTTAGTCGTTTTTGAGTTATTTTCAAAATTCCAAAATTCAAAATTTGCTCTTTTTCTCAAATATCTCGAATACGGTCCATTTTAGGAAAATTTTGTAAATGACAAAAATTATAGAGAATATTATTGCAAGCAACTTTTATTTGAACAGTTTTTTTCTCCAAGCATAAATAACAATTGTATTTCATAAAATAGGAAAACAACCCCCTATAAAACCCCCCCATATGTTCCGACTGTGCCTAAATTTTCATTTTTTCACCGCAGGATGGAATAAAATTAAAATTTAAAATTTGGTATTTAACACTATTCGTTTTTGAGTTATTTTCAACATTCCAAAATTCAAAATTTGCACTTTTTCTCAAATTTCTCGAATACGGTCCATTTTAGGAAAATTATGTATGAGACAAAAAATATAGAGAATAATATTACAAGCAACTTTTATTTAAAGAATTTTTTTCTCTAAGCGTAAATAACAGATATATTCCATAAAGTAGAAAAATGACCCCCTATAAAAAAACCCAGATGTTCCGACTGTGCCCAAAATTTCATTTTTTTACCGAAGGATGGATTAATACTTAAATTAAAAATTTGGTTTTACCATTTTAGTCGTTTTTGAATTATTTTGAAAATTCCAAAATCCAACATTTTCAGTTTTTCATAAATATCTCAAATACATAGGATAAAAGCTATAGACAATAATAACTTTTATTTGAACAATTTTCTTAAAAATTTGAATTTTGTAGTAAAAATGTTTTTTTTTATTTTTTCTTTGTTTTTGTTTCTTTTATTTTTTTTGTTCTTTTTTCATTCTTTTTGCTTTTTTTTTGTTCTTTTTTCATTCTTTTTGCTTTTTTTTTCGTTATTTTCTTTTTTACTATTTTTTTGTTCTTTTTGTTTTTTTTTTAATCTTTTTTATTCTTATTTCGATCTTTTGTTAATTTTTTGAAAAATATTTGAATATTTTTAAATTTTGTAAAAAATTTTTCGTTTTTGTTAATTTTTGTTTTTCTTTTTTTTTTTCTTTTTTTTTTTTCTTTTTTTTTTCTTTTTTTTTATTTCTATTTCCGTTCTTTTTTCTTTTTTTTCTTTTTTTTTGTTCTTTTTGTTTTTTAAATCTTTTTTATTATTTCGTTCTTTTTTTTATTAATTTTTGTTCTTTTCTTGTTCTTTTCTTGTTCTTTTCTTGTTCTTTTCTTGTTCTTTTCTTGTTCTTTTCTTGTTCTTTTCTTGTTCTTTTCTTGTTCTTTTCTTGTTCTTTTCTTGTTCTCTTCTTGTTCTCTTCTTGTTCTCTTCTTGTTCTCTTCTTGTTCTCTTCTTGTTCTCTTCTTGTTCTCTTCTTGTTCTCTTCTTGTTCTTTTCTTGTTCTTTTCTTGTTCTCTTCTTGTTCTTTTCTTGTTCTTTTCTTGTTCTTTTCTTGTTCTTTTCTTGTTCTTTTCTTGTTCTTTTCTTGTTCTTTTCTTGTTCTTTTCTTGTTCTTTTCTTGTTCTTTTCTTGTTCTTTTCTTGTTCTTTTCTTGTTCTTTTCTTGTTCTTTTCTTGTTCTTTTCTTGTTCTTTTCTTGTTCTTTTCTTGTTCTTTTCTTGTTCTTTTCTTGTTCTTTTCTTGTTCTTTTCTTGTTCTTTTCTTGTTCTTTTCTTGTTCTTTTCTTGTTCTTTTCTTGTTCTTTTCTTGTTCTTTTCTTGTTCTTTTCTTGTTCTTTTCTTGTTCTTTTCTTGTTCTTTTCTTGTTCTTTTCTTGTTCTTTTCTTGTTCTTTTCTTGTTCTTTTCTTGTTCTTTTCTTGTTCTTTTCTTGTTCTTTTCTTGTTCTTTTCTTGTTCTTTTCTTGTTCTTTTCTTGTTCTTTTCTTTTTCTTGTTCTTTTCTTGTTCTTTTCTTTTTCTTGTTCTTTTCTTGTTCTTTTCTTTTTCTTGTTCTTTTCTTGTTCTTTTCTTGTTCTTTTCTTGTTCTTTTCTTGTTCTTTTCTTGTTCTTTTCTTGTTCTTTTCTTGTTCTTTTCTTGTTCTTTTCTTGTTCTTTTCTTGTTCTTTTCTTGTTCTTTTCTTGTTCTTTTCTTGTTCTTTTCTTGTTCTTTTCTTGTTCTTTTCTTGTTCTTTTCTTGTTCTTTTCTCGTTCTTTTCTTGTTCTTGTTCTTTTTTACTTTTTTGAACAATTTTCTTATAATTGTTTTTATTTGTGTTTTTCTTTATTTTGTTCTTTTTCTGTTCTATTTTCTCTTTTTTTTTTTACTTTTTGGTCCGAAAGTTTTAATTAGAGGACTTTATTCTTTGATAAATATTTAGTAACAATAGAATTTTTTTTAAGTACAGAATATTATTGGTAATGTTTACAAGTCTCAATTTAGGATGAGATTTTTTTAAGAAAACGAATTTTAACTACTACTCGCCTCTAGATTCTTCAAGATTTATAACTTTACAACAAATTCAATTTAAGGTACGCCAGGCTATCAAGTGAACGGTCCGTACACACCACAAACTCCAGGTACGATGTACGACGCTAACTATAGCCCGTATCAGGCTAGTCCCGGTTATCAGAGTGCTATTTCGACTCCTAGTCCGGGAACTGGTTACGGACAATCTCCTGTTTCGAGTCAAAATCCGTATAGTACTCCAAGTTCAAGTTACAGTCCTAATATGCCTTATAATCCACACACTCCTGGAGCTGGAATGGATGTTCTGCCCATGACTGATTGGCATACTGTGGATATTGAGGTTAGAAACGATAAAAAATAAATAACAAACATTTTTCAGTAATTAAAATCATTTTTACGTATTTTTATTACAATATTTGGAGCAAAATTCATAATATTTGACATACCTTGTATATGACTGATAAAATTTGTAATTACATCATTGAATTTTAAGTTTTAAGTCATAGAGAATTTTTTAGAAAGAATAACTTTTTTCTCTAAAATTAATAATAAAAAAGTTCCATATGCAGCTAACTTACCTAGCATATGGAACTTTTTTATTATTAATTTTAGGAAAAAAGTTATTCTTCATAAAAAATTGCGCATAGTCTGAAACCTAAAATGCCACCATCAGATATCAAATTTTATGAGTTATATACGAGGTGTGTCAAAAATAAAGTTAGCAAAATTCATATTATTTGACATACCTTGTATATTACTAATAAAATTTGTTATTACATGATTGATTTTTACGTTTTAGATCATAGAGAATTTTTTATAAAGAATAACTTTTTCCTCCAAAATTAATATTAAAAAAGTTCCATATGCTGCTAACTTACGCAGCATATGGAATTTTATTATTATTACTTTTAGAAAAAAAGTTATTCTTCATAAAAAATTGTGCATAGTTTGAAACCTAAAATGCCACCATCAGATATCAAATTTTATGAGTTATATACGAGGTGTATAAAAAATAAAGTTAGAAAAAATTCGTATTATTTGACATACCTCGTATATGACTAATAAAATTTGTTATTACATGATTGATTTTTACGTTTTAGGTCATAGAGAACTTTTTATAAAGAATAACTTTTTCTCTAAAATTAATAATAAAAAAGTTCCATATGCCGCTAACTTACATAGCATATGGAACTTCTTTATTATTAATTTTAGGAAAAAAATTTATTCTTCATAAAAAATTGTGCATGGTCTGAAACCTAAAATGCAACCATCAGATATCAAATTTTATGAGTTATATACGAGGTGTGTCAAAAATAAAGTTAGCAAAATTCATATTATTTGACATACCTTGTATATTACTAATAAAATTTGTTATTACATGATTGATTTTTACGTTTTAGATCATAGAGAATTTTTTATAAAGAATAACTTTTTCCTCTAAAATTAATAATAAAAAAGTTCCATATGCTGCTAACTTACGTAGCATATGGAATTTTGTTATTATTACTTTTAGAAAAAAAGTTATTCTTCATAAAAAATTGTGCATGGTCTGAAACCTAAAATGCAATCATCAGATATCAAATTTTATGAGTTATATACGAGGTGTATAAAAAATAAAGTTAGAAAAATTCGTATTATTTGACATACCTCGTATATGACTAATAAAATTTGTTATTACATGATTGATTTTTACGTTTTAGATCATAGATAATTTTTTATAAAGAATAACTTTTTCCTTTAAAATTAATAATAAAAAAGTTCCATATGCTGCTAACTTACGTAGCATATGGAATTTTGTTATTATTATTTTTAGAAAAAAAGTTATTCTTCATAAAAAATTGTGCATGATCTGAAACCTAAAATGCAATCATCAGATATCAAATTTTATGAGTTATATACGAGGTGTATAAAAAATAAAGTTAGAAAAATTCATATTATTTGACATACCTTGTATATTATTAATAAAATTTGTTATTACATGATTGATTTTTACGTTTTAGGTCATAGAGAACTTTTTATAAAGAATAACTTTTTCTCTAAAATTAATAATAAAAAAGTTCCATATGCCGCTAACTTACATAGCATATGGAACTTCTTTATTATTAATTTTAGGAAAAAAAGTTATTCTTCATAAAAAATTGTGCATGGTCTAAAACCTAAAATGCAACCATCAAATATCAAATTTTATGAGTTATATACGAGGTGTGTCAAAAATTAAATTAGCAAAATTCCTATTATTTGACATACCTCGTATATTATTAATAAAATTTGTTATTACATGATTGAATTTTGGGTTTTAGGTCATAAAGAACTTTTTATAAAGAATAACTTTTTTCTCTAAAATTAATAATAAAAAAGTTCCATATGCCGCTAACTTACGTAGCATATGGAACTTCTTTATTATTAATTTTAGAAAAAAGTTATTATTCATAAAAAATTGTGCATGGTCTAAAACCTAAAATGCAACCATCAGATATCAAATTTTATGAGTTATATACGAGGTGTGTCAAAAATAAAGTTAGCAAAATTCATATTATTTGACATACCTCGTATATTATTAATAAAATTTGTTATTACATGATTGAATTTTGGGTTTTAGGTCATAAAGAATTTTTTATAAAGAATAACTTTTTTCTCTAAAATTAATAATAAAAAAAGTTCCATATGCCGCTAACTTACGTAGCATATGGAACTTCTTTATTATTAATTTTAGGAAAAAAAGTTATTCTTCATAAAAAATTGTGCATGGTCTAAAACCTAAAATGCAACCATCAAATATCAAATTTTATGAGTTATATACGAGGTGTGTCAAAAATAAAATTAGCAAAATTCCTATTATTTGACATACCTCTTATATTATTAATAAAATTTGTTATTACAGGATTGAATTTTGGGTTTTAAGTCATAGAGAATTTTTTATAAAGAATAACTTTTTTCTCTAAAATTAATAATAAAAAAGTTCCATATGCAGCTAACTTACATAGCATATGGAACTTTTTTATTATTAATTTTAGGAAAAAAAATTATTCTTCATAAAAAATTGTGCATGGTCTGAAACCTAAAATGCAACCATCAGATATCAAATTTTATGAGTTATATACGAGGTGTGTCAAAAATAAAGTTAGCAAAAGTCATAATATTTGACATACCTCGTATATAACTAATAAAATTTGGTATTACATGATTGAATTTTACGTTTTAGGTGATATAGAATTTTTTATGAAGAATAACTTTTTTCTCTAAAATTAATAATAAAAAAGTTCCATATGCCGCTAACTTACGTAGCATATGGAACTTCTTTATTATTAATTTTAGAAAAAAAGTTATTCTTCATAAAAAATTGTGCATGGTCTAAAACATAAAATGCAACCATCAAATATCAAATTTTATGAGTTATATACGAGATGTGTCAAAAATAAAGTTAGCAAAAGTCATAATATTTGACATACCTCGTATATGACTAATAAAATTTGGAATTACATGATTGAATTTTAAGTTTTAGATCATAAAGAATTTTTTTATAAAGAATAACTTTTTTCTCTAAAACTAATAATAAAAAAGTTCCATATGTCGCTAACTTACATAGCATATGGAACTTTTGTATTATTAAATTTAGGGAAAAAAATTATTCTTCATAAAAAATTGTGCATGGTCTGAAACCTAAAATGCAACTATCAGATATCAAATTTTATGAGTTATATGCGAGGTATGTCAAAAATAAAGTTAGCAAAATTCATATTATTTGACATACCTTATATACGACTAATAAAATTTGTTATTACATGATTGATTTTTACGTTTTAGGTCATAGATAATTTTTTATAAAGAATAAGTTTTTCCTCTAAAATTAATAATAAAAAAGTTCCATATGCCGCTAACTTACATAGCATATGGAACTTCTTTATTATTAATTTTAGAAAAAAGTTATTTTTCATAAAAAATTGTGCATGGTCTAAAACCTAAAATGCAACCATCAAATATCAAATTTTATGAGTTATATACGAGGTGTGTCAAAAATAAAGTTAGCAAAATTCATATTATTTGACATACCTCGTATATTATTAATAAAATTTGTTATTACATGATTGAATTTTGGATTTTAGGTCATAAAGAACTTTTTATAAAGAATAACTTTTTCCTCTAAAATTAATAATAAAAAAGTTCCATATGCATATGGAACAAAATTTAAAATTGTGTTTATATTTGATATAGGTTAGAATTCGCGATAGTCACGATGATCCCGGCCTCGTAGGTCAAACCGGAGTTATAAGAAGCATCTCTGGAGCCATGTGTACCGTTTTTCTTCCCGCTGAAGACCGAGTTGTCAATATTATGTCAGATCACTTAGACCCCGTCAGACCACAAAGAGGGGATTTGTTTAAGGTAATGTACAAACATTTTCTATTCCTAATAGTTCTGGATAAATATAAAACAAAAAATTAAAAAAAACAAATTACTAGGATTTTTTTTATTAATTTTTAATATTTTTAATAATTTTTATTAATTTTTATTAATTTTTATTAATTTTTATTAATTTTTATTGATTTTTATTAATTTTTATTAATTTTAAATAATATTTATTATTTATTTTTATTATTTTTATTAATTTTTATTAATTTTTATCAATTTTTATACTTTTTATTGTTTCTTATTAATTTTATTAATTTTTTTTTTAATTTTTTAATGATTTTTATTAATTAATTTTTATACTTATTATTATTTTTTATTTTTTTAAATTTTTGTCTATTTTTCTTTATTTTTATTTATTTTTATTAATTTGTATTAGTTTTTATTTTTTTATCTATTTTTATTTATTTTTGTTTATTTTTATTTATTTTTGTTTATTTTAATTTATTGTTATTGATTTTTAATATTTTTATAAATTTTTATTAATTTTTATACTTTTTATTATTTTTTATTTATTTTTGTTAATTTTTATTAATTTCTATTATTTTTTTTATTTTTATATATTTTTGTTTATTTTTATTTATTTTTTATTAATTTTATTCATTTTTTTTTTTTCATTTTTATTGATTTTTATTAATTTTTATTGATTTTTGTTGATTTTGATTAATTTTTATTTTTTAATTTTTTTATATTTTTATTTGATTTTTATTAATTTGTATTAGTTTTTATTAATTTTTGTTTATTTTAATTTATTGTTATTGATTTTTAATAATTTTTATTAATTTTATTAATTTTTATTGATTTTTATTAATTTTTATCAATTTTTATTAATTTTTTTTACTTTTTATTAATTTTTTTTACTTTTTATTAATTTTTTTTACTTTTTATTATTTTTTATTGATTTTTGTTTATTTTTATTTATTTTTATTAATTTTTATTACTTTTTATTAATTTTTATTATTTTTTTTTAATTTTTATATATTTTTGTTAATTTTTATTTATTGTTATTTATTTTTGTTTATTTTAATTTATTGTTATTGATTTTTATTATTTTTATCAATTTTTATTAATTTTTATACTTTTTATTATTTTTTATTTATTTTTGTTAATTTTTATTAATTTCTATTATTTTTTTTATTTTTATATATTTTTGTTTATTTTTATTTATTTTTTATTAATTTTATTCATTTTTTTTTAATTTTTATTGATTTTTGTTGATTTTGATTAATTTTTATTTTTTAATTTTTTCATATTTTTGTTTATTTTTATTTGATTTTTATTAATTTGTATTAGTTTTTATTTTTATTTATTTTTGTTTATTTTAATTTATTGTTATTGATTTTTAATAATTTTTATTAATTTTTTTTAATTTTTATTGATTTTTATTAATTTTTATCAATTTTTATTAATTTTTTTTACTTTTTATTATTTTTTATTGATTTTTGTTTATTTTTATTTATTTTTATTATTTGTATTAGTTTTTATTTATTTTTTATCTATTTTTGTTTATTTTAATTTATTGTTATTGATTTTTATTATTTTTATTAATTTTTATACTTTTTATTATTTTTTTATTAATTTTTATTGATTTTTGTTTTTTATTAATTTTTATTATTTTTTTTTTAATTTTTATATATTTTTGTTTATTTTTATTTATTGTTATTTAATTTTTATTAATTTTTAATAATTTTTTGTTAATTTTATTAATTTTTTTTTAATTTTTATTGATTTTTATTAATTTTTATCAATTTTTATTAATTTTTTTTACTTTTTATTATTTTTATTGATTTTTGTTTATTTTTATTTATTTTTATTAATTTGTATTAGTTTTTATTTATTTTTGTTTATTTTAATTTATTGTTATTGATTTTTATTATTTTTATCAATTTTTATTAATTTTTATACTTTTTATTAATTTTTATTGATTTTTGTTTATTTTTATTAATTTCTATTATTTTTTTTATTTTTATATATTTTTGTTTATTTTTATTTTTTTTTATTAATTTTTTTAATTTTTATTGATTTTTGTTAATTTTGATTAATTTTTATTATTTTTTAATTTTTATATATTTTTCTTTATTTTTATTTATTTTTTATTTATTTTTTATTAATTTGTATTAGTATTAATTTTTATTTTTTTTTTGTTTATTTTAATTTATTGTTATTGATTTTTAATAATTTTTATTAATTTTATTAATTTTTTTTAATTTTTATTGATTTTTATTAATTTTTATCAATTTTTATTAATTTTTTTACTTTTTATTATTTTTTATTGATTCTTATTTATTTTTATTAATTTGTATTAGTTTTTATTTATTTTTATTTATTTTTGTTTATTTTAATTTATTGTTATTGTTTTTAATTATTTTTATCAATTTTTATTAATTTTTTTATACTTTTTATTATTTTTTATTAATTTTTTTATTTTTATTATTTTTTATTGATTCTTATTTATTTTTAATAATTTGTATTAGTTTTTATTTATTTTTATTTATTATTTATCTATTTTTATTTATTTTTGTTTATTTTAATTTATTGTTATTGATTTTTATTATTTTTATCAATTTTTATTAATTTTTATTATTTTTTATTAATTTTTATCTAGTTTTTATTAATTTTTATTTAATTATTATTTATTTTTATTTAGATATCTATATTTTTTTATTTATTTGTGACAACACGATCTTATTATTAAAACATACAGTATATTTAGGGAATCGAGTTGTATGTAAGAGAGAATTTAAAAAAAATACAAAAAACAAACTGTCTTAATTATCTCGAAAATCCTAGGAAACAATTTGAGCGCCTTTTTTTTTATCTATTTTAGGTAATTATTGGTGAAGAACGTGAACAAACCGGTGAATTACTCTCCATAGATTCCCACGAGGGTGTGGTGAAATTTAAAAACGACGTCACCATGTTACCGTTACAAAATTTGTGCAGGATGAGACCTCTAGATGACTAAAAAGTTTATTTTTTTTTATTTTCAAGTTTAATTAGTTTAAAAAAAAAATTGCTGAAAATATTTGAAAGTTTAGACTAAGTATTCTGTAATGAAACATTTTAATGCTGTAACTTGCGAACCAACTCTAAAACCGCAAACTTTTTAAGTGAAAATGTTCAATTGGTTTGTAAGTTGTGGTTATTTTTGCGTTTTAAGGACACATGGATTTACATTTAAAAAATATAGCGTCTAATATTGAAAATCTTGTTTCTTTTTTACCAAAATTAGTTGTGATTTCGAAGCCAGATCGCTATAAAACAAATCTGGATTCTCCTACGAAAGTTCCCAAAATTCGGTTTTTGAATATTAGTTGATACTTTTAAGCCAGATCGCTATAAAATAAATCTGGAATCTATTATGAAAATTCGGTATAAATTAAATTAAAGTTTCAGAGTGTTTAGGATAATACTAATAATTAAAAAAATGTCGATGAGAAGAAAATTAAGTAATTTAAATATTCAGTAGTACAGGGTCAGTCAAAATTATCGTCAGCCAAAGAGAGTTCATTAAATACGGTACACTCAAAGTGATTCAGTTCTTCGAGTGATTTGGAGTGGGATTATCCGATATTTTTCGATTTTTTTATTTTTTAGATTTTTTTAGATTTTTTAAATTTTTTAAATTTTTTAAATTTTTTAAATTTTTTAAATTTTTTAGATTTAGAAAATTAAAAAATCTAAAAAAAATTAAAAAATCTAAAAATCTACAAAATCTAAAAAAACCAAAAAATCTAAAAAATCTAAAAAATCAAAAAAAGCTAAAAAATCTAAAAAAAAAATCGAAAAAATCTAAAAAATCAAAAAATCGAAAAAATTTAAAAAAATTTTTCGATTTTTTTTTAGATTTTTTAGCTTTTTTCGATTTTTTAGATTTTTTAGATTTTTTGGTTTTTTTTAGATTTTTTTAGATTTTGTAGATTTTTAGATTTTTTAATTTTTTTTAGATTTTTTAATTTTTTAGATTTTTTGATTTTTTAGATTTTTTCGTTTTTTTCGATTTTTTAGATTTTTTTTAGATTTTTTAGATTTTTTTGATTTTTTAGATTTTTTAGATTTCTTAGATTTTTTAGATTTTTTTTAGATTTTTTAGATTTTTTTTAGATTTTTTAGATTTTTTAATTTTTTAATTTTTTAGATTTTTTGTTTTTTAGATTTTTTCGATTTTTTAGGTTTTTAGATTTTTTAGATTTTTTAGATTTTTTAAATTTTTTAAATTTTTTCGATTTTTTAGATTTTTTCGATTTTTTTTTAGATTTTTTAGATTTTTTCGATTTTTTGGTTTTTTTAGATTTCTTAGATTTTTTAATTTTTTTTAGATTTTTTAGATTTTTTTAGATTTTTTAATTTTTTAGATTTTTTCGATTTTTTAAATTTTTTAAATTTTTTCGATTTTTTAGATTTTTTCGATTTTTTTTTTAGATTTTTTCGATTTTTTGGTTTTTTTAGATTTTTTTAGATTTTGTAGATTTTTAGATTTTTTAGATTTTTTTAAATTTTTTTAGATTTTTTAGATTTTTTAATTTTTTAGATTTTTGATTTTTTAGATTTTTTTAGATTTTTTAGATTTTTTTAGATTTTTTCGATTTTTAGATTTTTTCGATTTTTTTTTTTCGATTTTTTAGATTTTTAGATTTTTTGGTTTTTTTAGATTTTTTAGATTTTTTAGATTTTTAAATTTTTTCGATTTTTTGATTTTTTAGATTTTTTCGATTTTTTTTAGCTTTTTTCGATTTTTTAGATTTTTTGTTTTTTTTAGATTTTTAGATTTTTTTAGATTTTTAGATTTTTTAATTTTTTTTAGATTTTTTAATTTTTTAGATTTTTTCGTTTTTTTCGATTTTTTCGATTTTTTAGATTTTTTTTAGATTTTTTTTAGATTTTTTAGATTTTTTAGATTTTTTAGATTTTTTAGATTTTTTAGATTTTTTAGATTTTTTAGATTTTTTAGATTTTTTTAGATTTTTTAGATTTTTTAGATTTTTTAGATTTTTTAGATTTTTTAGATTTTTTAGATTTTTTAGATTTTTTAGATTTTTTAATTTTTTAGATTTTTTGATTTTTTAGATTTTTTCGATTTTTTAATTTTTTAGGTTTTTAGATTTTTTAAATTTTTTCGATTTTTTAGATTTTTTCGATTTTTTTTTTAGATTTTTTCGATTTTTTAGATTTTTTGGTTTTTTTAGATTTTTTTAGATTTTGTAGATTTTTAGATTTTTTAGATTTTTAGATTTTTTAATTTTTTTTTAGATTTTTTAATTTTTTAGATTTTTGATTTTTTAGATTTTTTTAGATTTTTTAGATTTTTTTAGATTTTTTCGATTTTTAGATTTTTTAGATTTTTTAGATTTTTTAGATTTTTAGATTTTTTAGATTTTTAGATTTTTTTGATTTTTAGATTTTATAAATTTTTTTAAATTTTTTAGATTTTTAAGATTTTTTAGATTTTTTAGATTTTTTTAGATTTTTTAGATTTTTCAATTTTTTCCATTTTTCAGATATTTTAGATTTTTTTCGATAAAAATGTCATTTTGACATCTACGAAATTGATTTAGATAATTTACATGAATTTGAAATACAGTGGCAGTACAGATGGGGTCGTTACTAGACAGACAGTCAGACCACGACGGATCTCAAGCTGAGGGATCAAAGATTGGTCGGTAATAGAGACGATAATTAACGAAGACGTACGAGGGAAATAATTTATCAAAATAGATTGTACAGATAATGGTTGTGACGTTATCGAATATAGAATCATTAATTTTTTAAATGCTTTTGTAGAGTAATGGTTATATATGTGTTATCTAATGGTTCCTCTGGGTGTTGGTTCAATCCCCCGGTAAGTAATTATTACTGTTTATAAAATTATAGATTGAATTAAAATTATTAAAATGGGTATTGATCGTATTGAATTAATGATAAATTTAGTCACAATTGTCAACGAAATTGGGCACTTTTCGTCAATTTTTTCCATTACGGTCCATTTTAGAGAAATAATGATGAAACAAAAAATATTGAGAATGATATCGCAAACAATTTTTATTTGGAAAATTTTCATAAAAATTCAAATTTTGTTCTTTTTGTCAAATTTTTTGAATACGGTCCATTTTAGGAAAATTTTGAATATAATAAAAATTATAGAGAATAACATTATAAACAACTTTTATTTGAAACATTTTCTTTTTCAATCGTAAATAACAGATTTATAGCATAAAATAGAAGAACGACCTCCTATAAAGTAACCCCCCAGATGTTCCGACTATGTCCATAATTTAATATTTTCACCTCAGGATGAATTGAAGCTTAAATTTAAAATTTGGCCCTTTTCTCTTTATCCGTTTTTGAGTTATTTTCAAAAATCAAAATTTTGCATTTTCTCAAATATCTTTAATACGGTCCATTTTAGAGAAATTATGTATATATTATGTATATATTATGTAGAGAATAACATTCTAAACAACTTTTATTTGAAAAATTTTCTTCTCCAATCTTAAATGACAGATATATGGCATAAAATAGAAAAACAACCCCCCAGATGTTCCGACTATGCCCAAAATTTAATAATTTCACTACAGTATGAATTAAAGCTTTAATTTAAAATTTTATATTTTTCTGTTTATCCGTTTTTGAATTATCTTCAAAATTTACACATTTTCTCAAATATCTCAAATACGGTCCATTCTAGAAAAAATATGTATTGAACAAGAATTATAGAGAATGACATCACAAACAACTTTTATTTGAAAATTTTTTTTCTCCAAACATAAATAACGGATATATTCCATAAAATAGAAAAACTTATTCTATAAAGTACCCCCCAGATGTTCCGACTATGCTCAAAATTTAATCGTTTCATCGCAGGATGAATTAAAGCTTAAATTTAAAATTTGGTCTTTTTCTCTTTATCCGTTTTTGAGTTATCTTCAAAATTCTAAATTTGCCCTTTTTCTCAAATATCTCCAATACGGTCCATTTTAGAGAAATTATGTAAAGGACAAAAATTATAGAGAATAACATTCTAAGTAACTTTTATTTGAAAAATTTTCTTCTGCAACCGTAAATAACAGATATATGGCATAAATAGAAAAACAACCTCCTATAAAGTATCCCCCAGATGTTCCGACTATGCCCAAAATTTAATATTTTCATCGCAGGATGAATTGTAGCTTAAATTTAAAATTTGATCTTTCTCCTTTTATCCGTTTTTGAGTTGTCTTTAAAATTCTAAATTTGCACATTTTCTCAAATATCTCTAATACGGTCCATTTTAGAGAAATTATGTATAGGACAAAAATTATAGAGAATAACATTCTAAGCAACTTTTATTTGAAAAATTTTCTTCTCCAACCGTAAATAACAGAGTTATGGCATAAAATAGAAAAACGACCTTCTACAAAGTAACCCTCCAGATGTTCCGGCTATGCCCAAAACCTAATACCTTACCGCAGAATGAACTAATGCCTAAACTTAAAAATTTGGTATTTTTCTCTTTATCCGTTTTCAATTCAAATTCAAAATTTTGCATTTTCTCAAATATCTTTAGAACGGTCCATTTTAGAAAAATTATGTATATAACAAGAATTATAGAGAATAACATCACGAACAACTTTTATTTGAACAATTTTCTCAAAAATTCGAATTTTGTACTTTTTGTCAAATTTTTCGAATACGGACCATTTTAGGAAAATTTTGGATAAAACAAAAATGATAGAGAATGACATTCTAAGCAACTTTTATTTGATAACTTCTGATAGCATAGAAACAAAGAACGTGAAAACGTTTTTTGACGTTTTTCAACGTTTTCGACTTTTTTTGGCGTTTTTTCGACGTTTTTCAACATTTTCGACTTTTTCAACGAGACGCTTGGCACATGACGTTGACAATGTCATCTACCAAACATAGTGCGTTTCAAAAGCGTTCGAAAACGTAGTTTTTGACGATTTTTTCGACATTTTTTAACAATTTCGACGTTTTTTTTCGACATTTTTCAACATTTTCAACGTTTTTTTCGACATTTTCTAATTTTTCAACGAGACGCTTGGCACATGACGTTGACAATGTCATCTACCAAACATAGTGCGTTTCAAAAGCGTTCAAAAACGTCGTTTTGACGTTTTTTTTCGACATTTTTTAACAATTTCGACGTTTTTTTTCGACATTTTTCAACATTTCCGACGTTTTTTGACGTAGTGAGC